CTGCTAATGTGTGTTTGTTTATTTTTCCCGGGCTGCGCGCTTCTTTTCGCTTTTGGGTCCGCGGGCTCACCTTGTTTTAAATAGTTCCCACTACCGTCCACCACCCCTACCATTTCCAATACCTCTATCACTCGGACCACCCCGCTACGAGTCTTACCACAGTTACGACAACTACTGTACTGTTTTCTTTGCGTTGACGCTGCCACAAAGGTGGATTTCTACTTTGCTTAGCCAAAGAAACCCGAAACCACTGAAAGCCAAAGACAACCACAAAGAAGTCCCTATTATAGTTCCTCTCTCCTTTTCCCTTACTCCTACTTCTCCTTCGTTAAGTGGGATGCCTTTTCCGGAAGGAGCCTAAAGAAACCCTAAAGACAAGAAACCGAGCCCAAAGAAACCCGAAACCAGTGAAGCCTAAAGACAACCGCAAAGAAGTCCCTAGTAAGTGGGATACCTTTTCTGTTTCCTCCCTTTGTCACTGTCACGCTGGCTTTGGTGCTTCGTCCCCTGCCCTTTCTGCTGCTCCTAGTGCTGGTTGTGTTTGGGCTTCACTGGTTTCGGGTTTCTTTGGGCTTGGTTTCTTGTCTTTAACCAGTGAAGCCCAAAGACAGCCGCAAAGAAGTCCCTATAGTAAGTGGGATACCTTTTCTGTTCCCTCGCTTTGTCACTGTAAAGCACTCCCAGCAGAAGCAAAAGCAAAAGCAGTAGGGAAAAAATACACGTTCAAAAAATCACGGAAAAAGCCTGGAAAAAAAACATCCTGAAAAAATTGCCATCCTTCAGCTTGGTTCTGAAAGGGGGAACAAGCTGAGACTGAAACGTTTTCAACATGGAGCAGTCTTTTGATACGAGAATCCCCATGTGTTCTAAGAAGAAAACGATCGAACATGCATGAACATGCTGAACTCGGCTGTACAGGGTCCTCAACCCTCAACCAGGTCTCTCTTTCTCCTCTCTTGGCGAGGAGAAACCCGATGTGACCTACAACGACGTCGGTGGTGCTAAAGAGCAGCTGGAGCGCTTGAGGGAGGCGAGAGAGCGGAGCGGAGCGCGGCCAGCCGGCCACCAGCAACCGGGGAAGAAGGTGAGAGCAACCCCTGCAACTTCACATGGAAGTGGAAGATAGCCCTTTGGAAGATTCCAAACAGGTGGTTTTCCACTTCCATGTTAGTTCCAGGGAGAGTAGATGGTCGATTGGTGGAACTGTAGGTCTTTCCATGAATGAAGTGAAGGAAGCGTCTGAATTCAGGTCTCCTATGGTCCCCCTAAAGATTCATGACTAGATATGACTAGCTTTCAACTTTGTAACTTCTTGGTGTTGTTGTTGTTGTTGTTGTTGTTGTTGTTGTGAGGCATGTTTTCCCGTCTTTGACTCTCACGACCGGCCTATGGAAACCCATCACCATCAGCCAACATTTCAATGATTCAGTGACACCGATTGTGGATGAAGCTTTGGAACATTGCGATCACTGAGATTGCCGTACCTAGGTAGTCCTGCAATGTTTGCACTGTCACATTGACAAGACGACATGGATTCGATGTATGTCAATTTCCCTTTTGGAACTCCAGGTTTTGCTTGCATGGTTCTATGCCTATCTATCCCCCCCAAACTGAGACGTGCCCATGGAGCTTTGCAAGCCTCAACTATTCTGCCTGCTTGGGGTGTCACTGCTATTGATCCGCCATTGTCGCGCTCAAATGGAGTGCTGCAGTTGCTCTTGCCTTCTTTGTCGTTTCTGCAGTGTTTCTGCTGTTGCTGTTCTTCTTGATCCTGCTGCTTGTTTTTCTATGAGAGGATGTTCATTCCGTTGACTTGGGCTCCAGCAACGCAACCTGGCCGTTGCAGAGCCACCGTAGTAAGTAGGAGTGCCGGGCCCAGTAGGATGAGCATGTGGTTGATTAGCCTCTTCCTATCTGTGGCTCTGGTGGCAGCTCAGACTACAGATGGAGGGCGTAGTGAGCTCCCTGGAATGAGAAAGGATATGTTCGACCAGATCAAGGATTCCAAGAACAAAGGTGGGACGAGATGTCGGCGCTTCACAAATAGCAAATATACGAAATATACATGTCATCGATTAGTGGAAAACGATGGAGAAAAGAAACTATGTATACTGGTGTTAAATTAGTTTTTGTTGAATCACAACAACATATAACAAGCACGGAACACCAGTCGTCGCTTTGCCGTCCTTTTCTGCATGTTCTCACACCAGCGACCGTTCACAGATGTTGCGTCATGTTGCTGATGTAAACATGACAGAACCATTTGACCAGCTTTGTGAATTAGCGAATTGACACACGTTCGTTTTCGCTCTCAAAGCAGGTGGTTTTTCTCACGCAACGAAGCACGTCACGCACCAGGCCCAGGTGGACAAACCGCGAAGCGGGCTGACTGCCCCAAGAGCGACAAGCTCTCACCCTTCAGAGCCTTTTGCATCGTCAAGGGCGAGATCTATGCAGCTTGGCAAGCGAAGGGCGGTGTTTCTTTGCTCCTGGCTGTACAGTCTTTTTTGTTTTTGCGTTTTGCTGCTTCTTCATCAATTTATGTATTGTTTAAATGTGTGTCTTTCTTTGTATTTATTTGTTGTTACTTATTAATTGTGTTTTTCAAGTTATTTTGCTAATTGTTACTTCTGTATGTTTGTTTGTATGTTTGCTTGTCTTTCTTTATTTATTTCATTCATTCATTCATTCATTCATTCTCTCTCTCTCTCTCTTTCTCTCTTTGTGCAGGCTTAGCTCTCTCGCTGCCTCAACGGGGCGGCCTTAACATTGTAGGGACGATGAGCTTGTTACCGTGTCATTTGTTGTTGGTGTGGTTGTATTTTATTGTATTATTAGCTGCTAGAGTTTGTCTTTTGGTTGTTGATGTGTTTGGGGTGGTTGCTTCTACCGATATTCTACTCCACGCAGTCCAAACTGTGGTGTTAGTGGCCCGATCAAGACCATGCGAACGGGAAGCGTTCCGAGGTCAAGATCAATGACACCGAAGAGAAATGCAGAAGAGTCATCAGCATAGGCAATGGGGCCGTGGGGAATTCCATGAATTTTGCACATGGATGCCCCGCATTCGCCACGATGGCAGCCTTACAAACATGCTTAAGTGATGGTCAGTGAATCCCAGCCTTTAGCACCAGCCACATAAGGCCAGTCAGAGATAGCTGAGCGTCCGGGATCACCCCAAGACCGACCCAGTTCTTCATGCCTCTTCCCTCCGCTTCGGGACCCCACGCCGGACCGGGACCGGCCCCACCGGTCCAACGACCGAGGCGGCGCCAACGCCTCGGCGCTCTTCGACGCCTCGCGCACCTGTGGCGCCGTGGGCGAATGGAAGCGACGGGTGGCCGAAGAGCTCAGCGCCGTGTACTTCGTCGGCGGTTGGGAGGAGAGGTCGCGCTGATCGGAGGGTTTATATGGGTTGGGGAGGGTGTTCTTTGGGCAGGGGCTCGGTGTGATTACACGTCCCGACCGCGAGGGATTTCGGTTAGAAGAAGAAAGAAGGAATACTTAAAGAAGAAGACTTTAGTGTATGGAGAATAGTTGGCAGCGCAAGCTGAAAAGATATGGGTGGAATGGTGGTGATATGTGGTGATGTGGGAGTTCTGGATGCCAGAGGAGGAGAGAGGTATGGAGACCTTGTGGTGAGTGGACCCACTTGTGCCACCCAAGATCCCTGCCCGCATCGCTTGCTCTCCAAACTTTCAGGCAGGGGTGTCAAGTCAATCCTGTTTGGCGCTAATGATGCTTCCAACTGAGTCTGTTTCGAGGAAGCTGCTTGTGAAATCTTTTGAGTATAGGTGTTAATCTGGAACTCAAGCTCGCTGCAGCTCAGCCAACTCTTAGCTTTCGGAACCGAAATGCCGCCGACCGTTCACGTGCAAAAGAACACGCAGGAATGGCCCAAAAGTGAGGGCGAACCGGTGGAGTTGGAGTTCGAAGATGGCAACCTCTCAGCGCCCTGGCAGCGAAGGTACGACAGGACCGGTGACTGGAAGGGATGATGGGGCGAGGTCAGTACAATCAATGGAGCTGCCATGTGCATTTAGAGTGGTAGTCGATTGACCACCTCTTGGATGGTCCCGGTATTTTCGCCGTGGGCATGAGGCACGCATGGGCTTCAACATGCTTGAACGTACATTTGGAGGTATGCCTGGGATGAGCGATGTCAAATTCAACAGAACCAAAGCGGAAGTATCGATTCGTTCCAAGGGGCTTTCGCCAGCAATACCAAGGAAACCTGACAGTGCCAAGTTCAGCTATAAGACAACTAGCGGTGAATTTAGTGGCACAATTTTGGGAAAATGATGGAACACGTTGAGAAACCATGATAAACTAGTGAAATTTGGTCGGAGAAGTTGGGAAAGCGTTGATCAACTGTTTGGCCACGGTATTTTCACCTGTGAACATAAACATCTTCGAGGTTCCCATCACGCCTGAGAACTACGAGGTCATCAAGGAATGCTGGGCTCGAGGCTGCGGCTGTGAACAGGCGGCCAACCCCAAGATGAAGGTGGGCCGCTCAAAGACCGTTGGACCGTCTTAGCTGGTCTTAGCTGCGCAGGTGGCTGGCTGCGCAGAAGATTCACTGGCAGATTGGGAGTCCCTACTCGTACAAATGGAATACCATTTCTGCATATGATACCAATGGAACCCTCAAAAGAGAGCGGTTGTAAAATTTTAAAATATCCGGGGGGTTTGGCCGTGAGGCCTGTTTTCACCGTGAAATTTGCGCGCACCGACAGTCACCTTAGGGTGAAATCTTCCTTGCCAGCCAGTCCGCCGTCCATCCCACAGGCCAGAGTCATCCAGAGTCTATATATAGAAAGAAGGGTATGCAGTGGGCGCTGTCGCTACTATTTGATACTATTTGCCCAAAATGATTCCCAAGACAAAGACCTGCTTGTAGAAGCACAGGTTCCATACCTGAAGCGGTTGACTTAGTTGTAATTATATTAAATTATATAACTTGGACTGGCCCGGGTATTTAGCATGGCTTGGTTGAAGTCGCATCCAGTGAAGGCAATCTTGCTCTCGATGCTGGTGATTTGCGTTTTCGGCATTGGCAGAGATGGCGTGAAGCTCATGTACGAAAAGTTCTTCGGTGGTTCGAAGAAAGAAAAGGAGAAGGAGAAGAAAGAGAAGAAGGAGAAGAAGGCAAGCTCCCCCCACTTGATTGCCAAGTTCTCAAGCTTCCCAGGCGATTTTCCAATGGGTGTCATTCTTAGAGTTTTTGCTGATTTGCTGTTTGGGGGCATGTGCAGGAGAAGAAAGAAAAGAAAGAGAAGAAGAGCAAGAAAGGTTGCTTGGATCTTCAGCTTTTTCATATTGTTTTTCTTTTTGTGGGGCCTCCTGCTGTGGATATATGTTCACCACACTCCCACTCTCCGAGTCAAAATGCTCAACCTAGACCTATCGTTGAAGGACAGGGCAGAACCAGAACCAGGCAGTTCTTTTCCTGTTTTTCTGGCCCGGAATGCACAATCTTACGTTTGGGACACATTCACATACATTTGCTGCATCCCTAATGTATTATCGTTTGTTTAATGGCCTTCCGAGGTCCGCCGCCCCACCAAGCGTTTGGATTGTAAGAACAAAGCCGTGGTTAGGTATGAACATAACAACAACAACCAAAACAAGAAGAAGAACAACAACAACAACAACAGCAACAACAAGAACATCAATGACAATAACAACAGAGGGGGGAGGGGGGGTGAAGTCAGCGAACCGAAAAAAAAAAAAAAAAAACAACACACTCTGACAATTGTATTCAGTTAACTCAGTTCCCAGAGGAAAGGAATGGCTCAACGGCAAGGTGAGGAGTCCGATCAATTGAAGATGTTTCAACAAAAAGTTTGTGCGCATCTGCAGACTCGCGACAGCAGCGGACGAGCGGCGGACGGCAGCTGAAAGGTGGCAGTTGGAAACCTGTTTATGGGGTAAGAAACGTGAAAGAACCATGAATCAAACCGTGGAAAAGTGGAGTGGACAGCTTGTGCAAAAGTTGTGGCAGGTACACACCAAAGCGTCCTTTGGTGCTTCCCATCTCGCTGCCTAGCTTTGTTAGACCAGGTCAGCAGCGAGATGCCTGGTCCCCCTGCTCAAAAAAGTTGAAAGTGGGAGGAGAGGTGGAACCCTTAGTTACAGGGGGTGACACACACAAACAGCCGATTCCGGCGCAAGTGTGTAGAACGTTGAAGGTGGAACTTTGCACAGAAAGCGCCAATATTGGCGCTGCGAAAAACTAATAGCCACCTAAAAAGCCTTTGGAAAGACAGACAAGGCAAACAAAACAAAAGCAGACTAAGAGGGCAAGAAAGAAAGATAGGGGTAGTTACGAGGCCCACTTAGTTAAATGAAAGTAGAGCGCGAGCGGGACATGTGTCTTAAACTGCCCGGGTAGCTAGCAATAGGCTAGGAGAAACAGAAGGAAAGGCACCAACACACAAGTGTGTTGAGTGCGATTTCCTTCTGTTTCCCGAGTAGCGGGTGGGGTAGCAAAGGAGGCCCAGGGGTAGGGAGGGGAAAAATGCACGATTAATTCGTCCGGCCTGTGAATACTTAGCAGCACATGCACATGTGAATACTTAGCCGTCAAACATCTCAAAAATGCAAGTGCTGCAACGCTGTCAGTTCCCGTGTTTAGGCCCGGCGGCCATTGTGGCAGTTAATTCGGTGGACGTGGAGGTGACTTCCAGTGGAGTTCCTGTGAAAGGTGGTGAGGTCAGTTAGTGCTTGCACGATGAGACAGCGCCCCAATGACGGGGATCACACTCAGCACCCGAGTGGGACGGCTGAGCGAAACACACTCTGACAATTGTATTCAGTTAACTCAGTTCCCAGAGGAAAGGAATGGCTCAACGGCAAGGTGAGGAGTCCGATCAAATGAAGATGTTTCAACAAAAAGTTTGTGCGCATCTGCAGACTCGCGACAGCAGCGGACGAGCGGCGGACGGCAGCTGAAAGGTGGCAGTTGGAAACCTGTTTATGGGGTAAGAAACGTGAAAGAACCATGAATCAAACCGTGGAAAAGTGGAGTGGACAGCTTGTGCAAAAGTTGTGGCAGGTACACACCAAAGCGTCCTTTGGTGCTTCCCATCTCGCTGCCTAGCTTTGTTAGACCAGGTCAGCAGCGAGATGCCTGGTCCCCCTGCACAAAAAAGTTGAAAGTGGGAGGAGAGGTGGAACGTTTAGTTACAGAGGGTGACACACTCTGACAATTGTATTCAGTTAACTCAGTTCCCACGTTGGGAAGGAAGGCGATGGAACAGCAAGGTGGCAAAGTCCGTTGAAAAGTATTGTTGAACATTGTTCAAATCGGCTGCGAGACGATCAAAACGGCGGCGCAGCTGCTGGGGAAGAGTAGGTTTGTGGGAGGTATCATGAACAACCATGGAAGCAAACAAGAGAGATTGGAACAGCGTGG